TTGTTCTTTTCATTCGAACATTTTTCAGAACTTTCTTTTCAATTCTATGTTCATTTATTTCATATACTGTCATAACTTTCACATTTACTATTATTGTCCAATGTATATGTAAGAGAATATAAGGTACGTGAGTTTAACATGCGCACTAGGCACAACACAGTGCTGAATCATAACTGAAACTGAGATATGATGCACTTTAATGCAATCATAACTTGAATGAGCACCAACGGTGCTGAACATTGATACACGAATGTACCAAAGCTGAACTGATAAGTACTCACTTAATGGCATGCTAGATGTACCTACGACTTTCAATGCAACATACAATGGGCTTATATTTTATCATCATAGAATCATTTGTTAATCTGTATCTGATCACTGTAAAATATCTAATATTTGTAATTATCTGATAACTGTAAATATTTAGAATTCATCGTCATAAATATCATACTTAGACAGTTCATACCCAAAATCATTCATAAAACTTGATGAAAATTTTATAGAAATATTTCATACTAAAAATATATAAATCATACTAGAAAATAAAATGAGGTTGACTTATCGCAAGTCGTCATCGACTATAATAATCAAACAAACATATTGCACTCACTTTAACACTTTATTATTGTTATTATTAAATCAAAATATAAGCATCACTAAGCTTTAGATTTAAATCATTTATCTTCCACTACTTTCAATATACAATTTATCAAAATTCTATATTCTAGCAGTTTACACTACCTTCAAACAAATAATATTCTGTATTAATTAATATACTAAAAAATTATTCTGTTTGCACTAATGAAAACTAAACTCGAATAAGAATCTAACCATATAAGGCACTCCTCGTCTAGTTCCACTTGTATAATTTATAGCGAATTTTCAAAGTTGACTGATAGAAGCTGTCTCGGCAGAATCTGCTGTTTTATTTTCTAACCTATCACTGATTAAAAATTCATATATATTTGTGTACATCTCGAAATCAGTCACCGTCTATTTTAAATGAAAATGGACAGATATACGAATCTAACGGTATAGAGAACATCTTCTAATCAATTATGTATAATTTATGGTGAATTTCTAAACTCATTTTTCGAATTCTAGTTTCTTGACAACTTCCCTTAATTAGCATCCTTAGCTTAATTTCATAATTATGTAAGCTTAATAAATGAACCTTAAGGCTAGAATCCAATTCACATAACATTAGGAGTCACTTCTTACCGTAGTAACTCTGTCATTGGCTCATCGCAAGTCAATGTTTGTATGATAATATAAACATGAATTAAATGCACTCACATTTGCTTCACCATCAAACCTTCTCCCACGATAATCTTCTCGATCCTATACTTTTTCTTTCCATTCAAGCTACTTGAATCACTAGATTTACCTTGATCTGACGACATTATATAATATCATAAAATATTCAAACTATATGTTAGCATCGAACTAACATAATATAAACTTAAATACAAAATTCGATAGAAATAAATACGATACTTAAATCGATACAAAACTAAATCGTACTTCAATCGTAGCTTTCAAACTTCTCAAAATACTTATTCGATCCTATGAATATTTATTCATTATCAACCCTTCAGCTTTTACCAACTACACTAATTATGAATTCTTTCTATAGTTCACCTTAACTTTTCTATTAACTTCATAATGATCCTTCACCATTATGATTATTTCACATTAATAACATAAAATTTTCAGAACCCCAATAAAATATTCAAATCAATACTTAAACATTCAAAAGCTTGCAATTTCATCCTAAACTTTCTTAAACTTTGTCAATTCAACTTTCAATCTATGTAAACTTGTAATTTTATTCAAACTTAATAATTTAACAAAAAATTCAGCAAGCTTCCAGAATTTCCAGAATTTTCTTAATTTACCCAAATGATACTTCTACATTTACCAACTTGCAAACAAGTCCCCATTTTTCTTAGGACCTTTCAAATTCCAACCCAAACTTTTACCAAATTTGCAATCTGGTTCTAAATAACTTTCCAACTTAATTTTCCAGCATCTCCATACTAAATATTATCATTGAATACTCCAAATCTCACATTTATACAATAATGTCCCAAAATCCGTAAAACTTGTAAACTAGCCCATTTTCACTTTCAAGGTTCCAAATTGATCCAAAAATATATCTGATTCACATAGAATACTTCTAATATCAATCCAAAACCATGATAAATTTTTAAACATTTTCCTCCTAATTTTCTTCATGTGGCCGAACCTATCCAAGTACATAGGGTTTGATTTTCATTCAACTTTAAGCATGAGTTCAACTTCCTTACATCAAATTTATGCTATTCTAACCATAATGACATCAAATTACCTCAAAATCAACCAATTTCATAAAACCCTAAACATAGCCAAGCACTAGTGTTACACATGATTTTAACAACACACATGCCTTAGAATTAATCTCTAACATAAAAAACATAAAAATCTTTCATTAATTTTTCAAACTCCATAAACCCTACACAAACCCTAATCACCAAAACTCAACATCCAAGCATGCTTAACATGAATTACTTATACCAAATGATAGAGAATTTCATGTAGAATAATTCTCTATTTCACAACTTAGTCCAAAAATCAATCATGTAAGTTTAAAAATCAAAAATAAAGTCTTACCTTGGAGAAGAGTGAAGTTTCGGCCAAGAGAGAACAAGCTGGAAAAAATGTTGATTCTTCTTCATTATTCTAGTATTTAATATCTAATACACTTGGCTTAAAGATAATTTAATTGAATTTAAAATTCAATTAATGAAAAAAATCCAAAAATACAATTAATAAACCTTGATAATTACCAAATGCCATTGAATTTTCTTCCAATAAAATATTCCTTAGTCAAAGATGAATCAACTTGGCTTTGACTTTTTAATTTAGCCATGAAATTTTCAAAAATTGCATTTTAGTCATTAAACTTCCACTGTTCGGTCAAAGCTGAAAAGTTACACTGTTTTGAGCCAAATTTATCTTATCTAAAATATGAAAATAATATTTCCAACCATTTCCTAACATCCTTCAAATTTTCTTAAAATTCCGGTTCGATCCGATTATCTGATTTCAATACCGAACTTTATCGCTTTAGAGCTTTTAACACAAATCTCGTACAAAAAATCTGATTCCTACGAAAATCCTTGCTTTAAGCCAAATTGTTCATTTACGGGCTAAAATATATAACTTTTAAAAGTTATAATTTTGGTCCCTAAACTTTTCAAAATTTATACTTTAACCACTAAACTTTTAAAACCTATATTTTAGTCCTAGACAAAATTTGGGGTATTACAGGGCATCCACTGGTCTCATATTCATGTGTTTTTGGACTTCGAAGATGAGCATTAAAGGAATGATATCCCTACAATTGATTATGAAAACATGTTTAAATTACATTTCATTCAAATAATTTAAGCTCAATCGATTAATCAAAGTATTTTAAAAAGGAATATTAGTCTATCAATATATCGGATACCAGTGATTCATTTAAAAAGGAGTGAATTGACTTCTTTTTTTGAATTAAGATAAGGTGATTACAAAGTAATATTCGTTCTAAATACTCTCAACCATTTGACAATGAATGATCAATCACTCTTGCAGTTACCGGTGCTCGAACATGTGACCTCTAAGAATAACAACAATTTCTTTAATCATTAAGATAAATTGATTCGTGTGAATAGATTGAATTTTTAAAAATTTGTGAAAACAAAGATAAAAATGAAGATAGCAAACACAATATTTTTAAGTGGTTCATCCCCAATTACCTACTCTAATGCTTTAGCTTTTTCAAACCCAATTAATATTATAAACGTAATAAAAACAAGAACATAATAATGATATAAATAATTATGATTTAATTATGATATAGAAATATATTTTTAGTATTTGTTAAGGGAATATTAATAATATATTTATTATTGTGATTTAATTTTAAAGGAAGTCGAAAGTATTTTAGATAGATTTGTTGAGTTTCAGATATTTTCAATGAAACAAATATTAGATTTGTACTCAAAATGTCAAAAAGGAGTGAATTGTAAATTTTAAGGTCTTACGATCGACGACAACAATGGCCGAGGTGGATTGATGGAGATCGACGGTCACGATTATGAGTGATTGTGGTGACAAGAAATTTTGGTCAAATTCAGTGATCAAATTAATAGTTTATCTAAAGTTTAGGGGTTAATTAATACTTCATCTAAAGTTTAGGGGTCAATTAATACTTCATCTAAAGTTTAAGGTCTAACTAGAATTTTATCTAAAGTTTAACGGTGAAACTAATGAAAATTAACTATTCAACGATCAAAATATAACCATCTATAACATAAATAATTAAAATCTAATAAATTAATAACGTAAATGATTAAAATTTATTTTTTTAATTTGACGAAAAAAAGTACAATATATATATATATATATATATAAAGTGATGAACCCAGTTGTACCGATAATAATATTATTTTACACTTTTAAAAGTATTTAATTAGATATTTAATATTTTTAGTATATAGCATGTCTTATGAATTATCGAGATAATAAAGATCCGTTTCTGTCCCACGCTCGAGTATCCTGACCAGGAAAAAAGAGTAGACTATAATTTAGTACTTAAATTATTATTTTTATTTTGTTTTAATATTTAAATTTTATTTTTTTAAACCACACATAAGATTTAGTTTAAGTTTCATTTTGATATTCCATCGTTAAACACTTAACGGTGATATTGATGTGTCATCATAAGATAATATCATTTTATAGTTGAAAAAAATAAATTTTTTTATGTCAATAATTCTTTTAATTTTTTAATAACAGAATAACAAATTGAAACATAAATATTAGGTATGATTATAAAAAAATAAAAATAAAATATTAAAATAAAATAAAAGTAATAATTTAAATACTAAACGTATAATTTAACAATAAAACATTTGGTGAATCCAAACAAAAGCCCTAGAGCTAATACTAAAGCCCAGCTCTGCTCTCCCAAGCTTATATCTCATTTATCTGTCGTTTTTGAGAAGAGAGGCACCTACCAGTGGCTTGACATTTACCTTCACTCCCTTTTTCCAGGTTTCTCTCTTTCTTTTATGTGTAAAAAGCTTGCATCAGATTTGGGGCTTAGATTTCTCATTATTTTACATTGGAAGAAAGTTTTTTTTTGTGTTGGTTTAGATATTTCTAGGCTATGGGGTTTCCATAGAATATGAGAAAATTTTCTTCTTAGCTTATTGAATCCCATGTTTTTATTCATCTCAATACTATCAAAATGTTCAACTTTGTGAATTAATTTTGCATCAAAAACTTTTTTTTCATTGCAAGTGATTGTTCCTGCAGAAACCAAAACTTGAGTTAAGAACAATGGCCTTTGCTGCAATGAAACCGACCAAACCTGGTTTGGAGGATCCCCAGGAGCAAATTCACAAGATCAGGATCACCCTCTCCTCCAAGAATGTCAAAAACCTCGAGAAAGGTACAAGTTTTTTTCCTTTTATGCTCAAAAGATTATACTTTCCTTTATCATGTTATGGTCCTTAATCAGATTTTCTTTTTAGGGTTGTAAATCGGATGAAACATATAGTAAGTTATTCGATTTTGACTTGGATGACTCCTCTCATTTACAGCCCTATGTCTGATTCATTTACAGCCCTATGTCTGATTATTGATACCTATTCAATTGAATCACTCAACATTGCTTACTCTAATGTGTTCATTTTTTATGGATAGTTTGCGCGGATTTGGTTCGCGGTGCCAAGGATAAGAGACTGAGGGTTAAGGGACCAGTGAGAATGCCCACTAAGGTTCTTCACATCACAACAAGGAAGTCTCCCTGTGGTGAAGGTACTTTGTTTTTTGTAGCTTATCTTGCTCAATCGCTTTTATTTATGATTGTTCATTAGGGACTGTGATTTGCAATCTTTATGCATGTGTAAACGTTTTGAACCCGTCTTAGTAATTCGATCTTTGAATGCTTGTGCTATTTGTTGCTTATTCTTGTTTGGCCTACACAAATGGATTCTATAAATGTGAGATGTAATGAATATGGTATTGTAATTGTTCGTATCTTGGTTGTAAACACTTTATCGTCTGATCCGTTTGTTGTTCATGGTTGGGGACCGACAAAGAACTTATTTGCATGAATTGTTTGATCCAATGCGGTAATTTGTTTGGACAATCTCTGTAGGGACAAACACATGGGATCGATTTGAGCTCCGTGTTCACAAGCGAGTTATCGATCTCTTCAGCTCCCCCGATGTTGTAAAGCAAATCACATCTATCACCATTGAACCTGGTGTCGAGGTGGAGGTTACCATTGCAGATTCATAAGTATGCTTCACTTTTGCATGCCAGCGACCTCTAGATTATTCAGATAAGATTTCGCTCACATTTGCTCTAAACAATCATTAGTTCAACTGCGCAAGTGGTTGGTTATAGGGTGTGTGATTTGCCATAGTAGTTTTGAAGTTAAAGATTCTATATTTCGTCCATTTTGTTTCCCAAAGATCATGTTCAGGTGATTTTATTTATCGTGTTATTCGACAGTAAAGCCGCTTTGTTTTCACTTCTTTTGTTTCCTTGTTACCTAAATATCATGATTGCCTTAGAGGAATAATATTAATGGGTTGTGAAGTGTTTTTGCAGTGCAATCCTGGGTTCGGTAGGTGCCATTTTCCAGCAACTTCTGGGGATTGCATAAAGCTCGTCATATACATTTTATAGGAAAGGAAAATACCATAGAATATATACACGATGGCGTTGCTCTAAATTAGGAAGTGCAGATGGTATGGCAACAAGTGGTGCTTTTTTCTTCGAAACTAATCCAAATTTCACATGGGCAAAACATCACCTTTTATATGTTTTTTTAGAAGCGAGTATCCATCACCGATCGTTTTACATATTACGGCAAAGTTCAATCTTCACAAGTTTGATAATTATTTTTCTAAAACCAGAGCCCCTTCAATGGTGGTATCCTCCATTAAACCTATGATAGCCCTGCATACACCAACAAAGAATGCTGATTACTGAAAGGAACAGTGTACAACAATGGAAGCATTTTCCCCCTTTTCAAATGCATCGCTCAAAAGGTTTCATAATTTCAAAAAACATATATACATATATATATATATATATACGGCGAGAGAGAGAGAGCTCTCGTATCTGGCCGAAGCTGTGTACATAGGAACATAAAAGCGTGAATAAGCAGATCCTATAGTGACACAATAAGTAAGCAGACAATGTCCACAATTAGCTACCAATCACAAGAATTCCAAATCCCACCAATAGAAAAGTAATGACAATAAGAAATAGCAGTTTCTATTCCCATTAACCACGAAGATAATTTGCTTACCGCAAATATAGCCCAAAAGATTAACATAATTTATGAGTACTATCAATGTCCTCATTCAGAAGAGAACATAAAATGATCCCAAAACCAAAACAGGCTGAAGCATTACCATAATTACTACCAATGTTTTCCCTTCTTCAGGAAAAATAAAATGTTAAACATCCAGCCTAAAATAAATTAGCAATAGATACGTGGTTTAACACCACTTAACACTTCCCCTTATGTATAGTATAGCTCACATGACTTATAAATGAAAAACCTCACTAGAAGGTCATCAACCTCACACGGGGTTAGGCAGCCACAAAATCACAAAACCTGCGACCTATAGGTTACATGCCCACAATGCTTAAAAAACGCATCCACAAGATAAAAAATTGAGGTATATAGAAGGAAGTGGAAGGAGCATTCAAGTTGAAAAGCCCATATCCAATTGGTTTTGCCTATTATCTACATGCATAAATTACACATATAAGCGCATACATATAAAAAAATCAGGAGTGACGGGGGATGATCAATTGTGTGTTTTTGTGAACAAAAGTAAAGTTCCCAATCATTTTCACTCAAGTATATTAAACAAAAAGATTGAATGCAAAAAGAGGGTAAATACTTTGAATGATAAAGATGTCTAGATTGGTGATACTACCTGCTCCATGAACGGGCCCTTGATCGTATGGGCCACTATACTCGGCAATCCTGTGAACAAATTTATAAGCTCGTGAAACAAATAAATGAAGAATGAACTTCAAAATCAAATAAAGACATGTCAGATGCACAAGAAGACCTTCTGGCTGGATAATCATCAGCAGAAAAGCTTTGCTTTCTGGAAGAGAACTCAACAAATCCTGCATGAGGTAGGGCATCAATCCCCATAGCAGGTTTGAAGTACTTAACAGGAGGTTGCCTTTCATAGTGAGTATCTAGCTTAAGATGGTCTGCATAAGTTTGCCTTTGATGATGAAAAGGGGTGACACATTCTGCATGATATTGGTTGTTGTGATTCACAAGTGGTGCATATCCCACACGGGGTTCCTGAATAGAACAATTTTAAGTGAACAAACACACATGAAATTACGAGATAAATGTGTGCAAATTAGCAAATTACCAAATCATGAGATGGCCTTTTGGATCCAGAAATAGCACCATAACCTGATGCAGCATATGCCTCTTTAAATGGTATTCTATATGCAATATAATCTGCATCCCTTCTATATCCCTTAAGCACATGAGATATTCTCTTTGAACTTCTAGAAGAACTGCGTTTACCTTGTGAAGTACCTGCTAATCAAGGAATATAAAACTTTTTAGTGACTCCTCCTCTAAGAGTGTATTCGGTAGCACAAATAGCAAATACAGAACCTTCTGGTTTGTTTGATGACCTCCTATTATGCAAACAGTCCCTTTGTCTCTTTCTATTCTTTCTCTTGACATCAGTTTTCTTGGGTTCGGTAGACAGTCCAGCTCCTGCATCAAGAACTTTAGGGGCAATGCTTTGTTGTTCATTTGTTTTACCTTCCATGGTATGCTCTGAATTCAAAGGATCCTGATTATTTTTATACACAACAGGTGCAGAAGGCTTCTCTTCGGTCCCCTTAATCTTTGACTTGCTTACATCAGTCAGCGCTTTCACATCACTCTCTTTTTCACCACCTTTAGACCTGGCATGACCTTTCATCTTCCACCAATCAGTGTTTCTATGCCTCATATTTAATTTCCATCCTACATAAGAGCTATTTTGCAACCACACTCGAACAAAAGGCCTTGCAATGTAAGCTTTAATCTGATATCCAAATTGACTAAGATATGTCATTTGAGAGATGGAGAAAATGCACGAGTCATATAATGAAATTACCTTGACATTTTCTCCGTTTTGCAATTTATTCATCCCTTCCACACAGGCTACTGCACCCCACGGGTAGTGTAAGAAATGAATCCAAAATTCTTTCCTTTGTTGCCCAAATTCCTAGATATTTTGACCTTTTTAGGTTCAGCATATTGTCCACAGATCTCTTTAAGTTTGTGTGCATCCCAAGACTTTGGTACCCCCTCATCATAAATAGTTTTCACCTACAGCAGGAAAGTTCTATCAAACATTCAAGATTAAAAGAGAAGTGCAGTTTAGGAAGCTAATACAAGATATACTAACCTTGTTATCAACTAATATTCTCCCTCGCATAAATTTCTTCTTATGAGAAAAAAATTGGGAAACCCCTAATTATGAACATTTTGAAAAATAATTTTACAATTTCAAAAAATCAATGCCATAAGACGATCACATAAGTTCTATATTGAGTGGTTCTCACTGTCTTACATATTTACACAAATAGTCACCTCTTTTAGCAGGTTTTCTGCTTCTTTTGATAAATGAAATTTTAGCTTATCCAAAAAAGAGTTCAACTACAAAAAGGAAAAACTGGCAAGCACTCACAACAATAACATGCTCCCAAGGTTAAGTAGAAGAGAGTATAACACCCATGGATTCCTAACCTGTAACCAAATTTCCTCTCTTGAATGCATTGGGGTGCGGGCAAAAGCAACTTTAGCATGTCTCAGATTGCCAAAAACTACATCTGGCTTCCTTAAACGGTGCATAGCAGCCTTTGCATCAGAGAAGGTATTGAATCTCAAAGCAAAACCTTTAATCTTCTTGTCATTCTTGGTATCTTTGGGTACTTGTATCTCAACTACGTTTTCAATTTCATAACCTTTCAACTTCCCAAGAATCTAAAAAGAGACAAAAATAAGATAAAAAATTGGATCAATTGAAGCTCACCATCACTTGCAGTTAAAAATGAACTTTTGGCAGACACATGATGTGATTCGCCTTGAATACATGCACTATGTGTTGCAAACAAATATCAAAAAGGAAAACTGAAAGTGGATATAGAATAAATATTCCTACATCCTCTTTGGTCCATGTTTTGCAAATATGACCCAGATAAGGAACATCACGGTCATGACTGATTGATAACTTAACAAGCTCTCCTTTCACCTACATGCATAAGGGCGGGGGGGGGGGGGAGAAAGGGGGAGGGGTGAAGAGAGGGAGAAAAAGAATGTTAGTAAATATAGAAAGGTATAGATTTTACAACATCAGACACAAATGAATGTTTTATTTAACCTCTATCCCATCCTTCAAGGCAGAAAGAACTTTCTTGGCTTTTTCAGTTGTAGCATATTGAATAAAAGCAAACCCTTTGCTTTTCAGTGTGGTTCGATGCCTCACAATCCTTGCACTTTGGACTTCCCCAAACTTTCCAAATATCTCAAACAAGTCTTGCTCAACTGTCATTTTATGCAGACCTCCAACATGTATTTCCAATGTCTTTTCTTTCCTTTACTTGGTTATACAGTCATGGTTAAGTACCTGAGGCACTATACTGACATCACTAACTTCAATGTCTTCATTCTGTTGGCAGTCATATCTGCTTTCCTTCTTTTTTCCCCGTCATTAACATCCTTGTTGATGTAACCATCATTGATACGCCCATCTAATTTCGTGACTGTAATTCTATCAGCCAAAGGTTCTCCTTCAATTGATTTCTGTTCTGCACCAACAAAAGCTCAACGTATATGTTTGACATTAAAAATGTGTAATGTCATTATCATATAGCAGGGGAACTGCAGTCAAAGCTAAAATCTTCCTCTTAGAGAAAACTAATAGGGAGAGGGAGAGGGGGGCTGGAAGCTTAGTAGCAATAGCATATATCAGAAAATCAAAGATTTCAACATCCAAAAGGATCTTAATAAACCAGGATCACAAACAGGGACATGCATGGATTTTCAAGTCAATAAATACCACATACAGCAAGTTGTGATAAAAGGTTAATATTCTATTCCAGCAATGTTGAATATTTTCTCTAACTAATAACTTCGATGAGCATGAGAAAACATAAAAGATTGCGGTGCACACTAGTTTGGGGTGAGTATACAAACTATGGCAGAAAGATTTGAAAGAAAGGAGAAACTAAGCTAAGATTGCGCACAAAACAAAAAAAGAAAAAATGGAAAGTAATAAGCTGCTATTTCCTCACTGGAGAATGTTCAAAAGATACATCCATAAGGGAACAGCTCGATTTGAGTTTGTCAATTTTTACTAAGCTAGTAAGCATGACTATTGTGTTCATATTCTTAACTGTAAAAAGAGCCACAACCATTTCCGATTGTAAAATATCTACACATTTTGTATTTATTACAAAAGCTTCAACGTCCTTTTCCACCATTTTTTAGTCTCACTGATTTGCAGAAATTGAAATATAAACTGCAAGTTAGAAATGAACTACAATTACTGCTAAGACTTCATTCAATTAACATATACTTAATATCGGAACCAAAAACCAAGCGACGGTCAGCTACATAGCTAGAAACGAATTGAAATGAAAACTTTTCAGAAAATGATTTGTCAATTACCTGCATTTCCATGATCCTTGGCTTCCTCACCATTCTCAATTTCATTCTCTGAATCCACATCAGTAAGTTCGATGTTCGTACTCAAATTTTGTCCCCTAGCACTCCCATCCTCAAATTTACAACACTCCAAACTAACATCCAAAT